TGCATTTCTACTGTGAATACATCATTTCTATAGGATGACAAAACATAGTGCAATTCATTAAAAAATATGAGTGGTTGAATTTTAAGTGAGAAATCTACAGGGCTTATTAAAACCCTGGGAATTTAACTAATCTGCATCAAATCTATATTTTGCTTTTGTGTTCCGATGAGGCCATTTACAGCTACTTCGCAATTTAAAAATTTTTTTGTTCTATTAAATGCTTTACACTTCAGAATAAATTGCAGGGACTGTTATAAAAAACAAATTCTTCTGGCTTAAAAAAAAAGGAGGAACAGGTATTTGGCATTAGTATAGAGCATAAATTATACTCTAGCACATTTACCCAAAAGGGTTAAGACCAAAGAAAGAATCTGCTTGCTTATTAAAAATGCAAACGTTACCTCAGTCATCTGTACAGCCCCAAGCCCTCCCGGCCCTGCCCTTGCAGGTCGCCCACCAGCATTAGTATTACGTCACGTGGCATCAGGGAACAACAATGAACACTGTGCAATACTTGAATATATTGTTTTGAAAGAATAAACTGTCATTAACTTGAATAAAAGCTTTCTGAAATCAAACCTGGGGGGCACAGCCCTCACTGTGTGGCCCTTTTACTACTTTGAGAAATGGCCTTATCCTGAAAGCAGTAAAGGGGGCAAGAAGAGGTTAGAGTATAAAGGCCAACAGTGATGAGTATCCCCTCCAGCAGCCGAGCAGGCGGACAGCAGGGCTTTAAATTACCAGGCCGAACAATGTCAGAGCAGGAGGCTCTGCAACAAATTCTGCATCTAAAAATACAAATGTCACACCCATCATCCATTTTCCTATTACAGCCCACTGATTTTCATATGGGGCTTTGCTAGAATTGGAAACAGTCTTACTCCACTGACAAAATAGTTAAAACTCGATGTCCTGATGCCATCTGGAGACAGGCTTGTACTTAAAGCCATGTGACTTTACGCAATGAATTGAAGCTCTCTGAGCCTCAATGTTATAACCTATAAAGTGGAAAGAATAATAGCTACATGCAGAGGTACAGAGGTATGGGGATGCACTACTATTACTATAATTAGAGTTCTTGTTATTCCTACCCACTTGTCTCCTTGCCCATCTTTTCTAATCACTGTCCAAGAGGTATCTTGTTCACAAGTAAAATGTGAACATCAACTGAAATGCTTGCTGGCTTTTTGTATTCCCTGCAGTCTGGCCACTGAACACGTGTTGCCATATCTGTTTTCATGCCACTCTCACCATGTAATTTCTCCACCTTCCTTGCCAAGTCCCAGATCACCTCTTAACTGCATGCAACCTGCCCCTTGCCGGTTTTCCTCTCTCCCATACCTATTCTCCATGTCCTCCACAACCAAGGTTCAAAGAGGAGAAAAACAAAGCCAGGGAAACAGAGCTAGTTGAAGGCCAAGCCCAGTGAAAATCCAGGGTCAATGCAACCAAATCCAGCTGTGTCGCATGAACCATACTTAACTATTCATGTTTAGGGTTCTCAGTGATTTTAAAATCTGAAGTTAGCTTCCCTTTAACACCAAAACTTCTCCTAGATGCTTCCCTTGCTAGTCAATTTATTACCATAAGGTAAGAATTAGTTCAAATACTTAAAAAGGAAACACTAATCTCAGAAAATTATTATTATTATTAGCCCAGGGAGTTTTTTTGATTTTCTGTTTTTGCTTGTTTTTAGAATTTCCCTAAAATGGGGGCAAAAATTGGTTACCTAAGGCCTCACTCAGGACTCGAAGACTTTGGGAGGAGAAAGGATTTAGCTCACAGGAAGGAGAGACATGAAAACTGTGACTGTGGGCAGTACTACATGCAACTCCAGAAGGGATGGGGTACAGAGTACAAGTTCCCAACTCCAGGTTTCTAAAGATAAATGTAATCTGATTATCTTTTAACCTGATTGTACAAGGATAAGTAGAGATGGAAATTTCATTAACTCTGGCTTCTATGGAAAACCATATTACTCCTCAAAATAATGAAAACTAATACGATGGGTAACAGGATGTAAAGTGTTGTTTTTTGCTAAGAGACAGATAAGTTTACAAAAGTCTAACACTCAGGCCTGTGGGAAAAGACTGAAAGCTTGAATTTCCTCATTTGTAAAGCAGATGAAGTGCTAGGAACAATGAGATGATTGATACATGGATCATCTCTACAGTACCGTTTGTTTTTATTTATATTGTTTTTTAAGCATAGAATGCAATAGTGTAACTAGTAGAGATTTTGACATCAGTGATGAAGGTCCAAGTTCAGCCTTTCTCTGCCAACTGTCTGATCTGGCACAAACCATTCCAACACATTTAATGATGTAAGAATTAAAGGGATGATATGTCTATGTGTGTGTGTCAGAGTGACCCTTTAATACAAATAGCTATATAAATGTAAGATGTTTTATATTATACTATACCAGGTTAAGTAAACCAGGCTTTATATTCAATTATATTTCCTAATCCTTTGAGGGGAGAGGGTGAGAGAGTGTTTTTTTTAATTTTGATATCATTAATGTACAATTACTTGAACATTATGGTTACTTGACTCCCCCTGTTATCAAGTCCCCCCAACATACCCCATTACAGTCACTGTCCATCAGCGTAGTAAGATGCTATAGAATCATTACTTGCCTTCTCTGTATATACTGCCTTTCCTGTGTCCCCCACTGCTACATTATGTGTGCTAATTGTAATGCCCCTTTTTCCCCCTTATCCCTCCCTACCCATCCATCCTCTCCAGTCCCAGAAAGAGTGATTGTTATAGCAGAAATCCCATTCAGTTAAGAGAAAAATCATAGCCACTACTGATGGCTTTTAACTTAGGAAGATGTGGTATGACAAAAAATATATTTGGTCTTTGCCTCCTAAAAATAAATCACCACCACCACTTAAAGGAGATATGAAAATAATAAAATACTAACATAAAACTTTAAAATACATAGTAAAGTTATTAAATGAATGATAAAATTCATATTAAAAGATAATTACCTCAATATATGCTAATGAGGAGGGTTGATAGTTTGTATATACTCTCTCCTCTCATAAAAAACAGTTGTCAGAAACAATAATAAATGTTGGCAAGGTTGTGGAGAAAGGGGAACCCTTCCACACTGCTGGTGGGAATGTAAATTAGTTCAACCATTGTGGAAAGCAATATGGAGGTTCCTCAAAAAGCTCAAAATAGAAATACCATTTGACCCAGGAATTCCACTTCGAGGAATTTACCCTAAGAATACAGCAGCCCAGTTTGAAAAAGACAGATGCACCCCTATGTTTATTGCAGCACTATTTACAATAGCCAAGAAATGGAAGCAACCTAAGTGTCCATCAGTAGATGAATGGATAAAGAAGATGTGGTACATATACACAATGGAGTATTATTCAGCCATAAGAAGAAAACAAATCCTACCATTTGCAACATGGATGGAGCTAGAGGGTATTACGCTCAGTGAAATAAGTCAGGCAGAGAAAGACAAGTACCAAATGATTTCACTCATATGTGGAGTGTAAGAACAAAGAAAAACTGAAGGAACAGAACAGCAGCAGAATCACAGAACCCAAGAATGGACTAACAGTTATCAAAGGGAAAGGGACTGGGAAGGATGGGTGGGAAGGGAGGGATAAGGGTGGGGAAAAAGAAAAGGGGCCTTACGATTAGCATGTATAATGGGGTGGGCAGGCACGGGGAGGGCTGTGCAACACAGAGAAGACAAGCAGTGATTCTACAGCATCTTACTAAGCTGATGGACAGTGACTGTAATAGGGTTTGTCAGGGGGACTTGGTGAAGGGGGGAGCCTCGTAAACATAATGTTCTTCATGTAATTGTAGATTAATGATACCAAAAAACAAACAAACAAACAAAAAAACAGTTGTCAGAATTATTTAACAAATGTATCAGTGGTCATGGAGATCTTCTCTATGGATCTGAACTAGTTAATCCACAATCCTGACCACAAACAAGAATACCTTTTCAATAAGATAAGAAAACCTTTTGAAGGAAATACAACAGGTAAGGGCCAACTCCAGCATCATTCATTGATTCATGTCCTCAGTCCCCACCTTATATCAGGCTCCATTCCAAGTGCCGAGGAGCCAATAGAGCACAGAAGCACAGAAAGCTCCTGCTGTCACAGAGGTCACTTCTTAGTGAAGCCAGGGTTCTTGTCTGCAGAGTCGAAGAATGAACTTAGCAAACACTCAAGGTAGGAGAGCCAGGGAGAGGCTTTTATTTAGAGATACAGTGAGAGGACAGAGCTCCTGGCTCACTCCAGGAGGGGACAAGAGAGCCCATAGTTGTGCATTGTCTAGGGAATTTATAGTCGGTTGAGGATTTTCAGGAATGTGAGTAAAGGGCTAGGGGTGCAGACTTGTACCACCTGCCCTGCCCTCACAGTGGGCTTGATTATTGCCTGTTTGCTAGGGCTGTTTACATTTGAGATACAGTGAGGTCATGGATTATGCTGAGATACCCTTCTTTATTTGTGAAACACTCAAACATTCCAGGCCAAGTTGCTCCTGGCCTTTTGAGCTTTAACTGATCTCACTGAAGATGTCTATATTCCTAGTCTGGTATCTTTACCCTAGAGAATTAGTGTGACTGACTTTGCATGATGCTTAACACAGAGTTTTGATAGGGATTTCTTCGCACATTGTTACATTGTTCTGTCTGTAATTATTCTGTGTTGCCTTTTTCCCCAAGGTCCTCACCCTATTCTGACTATACCCATGGTCCTTGTCTCACTAGCAGAGAAACAGACAGTAAACAAATCAGTAAACCATGGAGTAAGTCACTGGTGATTACGCACCACCGTGAAAAACAGGTAGGGAAAAGGGCTACAATTCTAAACAGGATGATCAAGGAAGACTTCACTGAGAAGATGCCATTTCAGCAAAGACTAAAGGAGATGAGTAAGGCACAAGGATATGTGGGAAGCATAGTAAGACTATGCAAACTTTTCCAACAAGCCCAGATAAGACAAAATGCAAGGCTTTACCTTTCAAAAGCGGCTGGAAGGTTGGAATCTCTTGCAGCTTGATGACGTCGGGATCGTTGCTGACATTCCGGGAGGCCTGGGAGCCCGGAGCTACAACCACAATATCATCCATCTTGGCTCTATGCTTAGCTGGAGAAGGAGTCACTGAAAATAAAGTTACACTGCTCAGGAGTTGCATTTAGTTAGCCACCTCTGTCTCACCAAAGCTGTTTTCAGTACAACCATTAAGAAGATTTTTCACACAAAAAATCCTAACTGTGGTTGTCCTGCAAGTGGGGCTGGAGTAGGGGAGGTGAATTATGAGGGACCTTTATTTTCTTATAGTATTTAAAAAAGTTAAACATAACTGGAACCTAGAACTTGTAAGAAATTGCTTTTGTAATTAAAAATACTTTATCATTCAGCACACAAAAATGTAAACAAATTGTTTTGTTACCCAGAATAAACAGAATATTGTAATACTCCGTACACAAAAATAGAAACAGATTGGTTTTGATTTTTACTTCTTTGAGCCTCCTGACATTTATCTCTATTTTACCAATGAGGAAATGAGACTGTGACTTGCACAATTTCAACAGTGCTAGAAACAGAGTTAGGAAAGGAACTGGGGGTCTATGAGTTGTTGGTATACACAGCCCATCCCTGCAACACTGAGGTTGCAGAGCTGTCTATCCACCCTAACAGAGCATGCCAGGTTTACCAGATCCCAGTCACGGGAAAAAAATCTGGTTCTCAACCCTATGTGATGAATCTGGTCTTGAGGCACCAGCTCCCTCACCCTTAAAGTTCCAGGCTTTAGTCCAAGAAGAGCAGAAATAAATAGTAGGTCCATTCTAGGTTGAGGTAAAAAATTCAGAAATTTGTAGGACTGCTAGAGCAGCAGGTCAATTTCAGGTCCTTTGGGAGAATGTAATCCATTTGGAGGGAAGTGATATGAACTATCAAGGACTCCCTTGGCCAAGACATCCTCCTTTCCCCAAGTATCTTCTTGACTGGGGCAATAATGAACCTTTAAAGTGTTTAACTCTGCAAGGTAGTATTTGCAGGCTCATCAGTCATGTCTCAAAGGTTGATTCAGGGATGCCATAGAGCTGCTCTGCTTTCTGGAAGCTAAAGTCTCTAGTGGCTTAGCATTCCCTCTTTTAGATCTCTGCTACTCATGTTCTTCAAAAAATATCTCTTAACCTCTTTTGGTAATTAACCTAACATTTTACAAATACTAACCCAGAAATCTTTCTTGCTACAACTTAAATAATTCCTTTGTTCCCAGATCCCAGAGAAAAACAGATTTCACTAGATGCTAGCTAGCCTCTACCACCTCGTCTGTAAAATGGGGCTACAATGAGAATTAAAGGTAAATGCATGTAAAACACTTAGCACAGGGGAATAGGCAAACTTTAACCTATTGGTTAGTATGTTATAGTTCTGGTTAAAATCCATGCTGATGGTTAGTGAGTAAGCATATTAAAAAGATGTCACACTTCCTCCTCAAAATATGTGTCTGGCCTGACATAGACAGAAGTAAGGGGTAACAATTATTACTGTATTTGTTAGGACAGATATGGTATTCTTGGTCTTCCAAGGAAAGAGAAAACTGTAGCAAAGCTAGTAGATGCTGCTCACTATTAAAAGCTGTCCCAATGTAGCCCTCTAAATGCAGGTCAAACTAGTCTCGAAGGGCACACCTCTGTGTGAAACACCCGTCCATCTGCCAGCTTCTACATTTCTGAATTACAGATCCTACCAGGAACACTGTAGTTCTATAACCAGGCGCTCTTTTTAGGCTCCCGATTTAACCCAGTTTGGATCAGCAACCCCAGAGTTTATGCACAGCGGTCTCAGCTGTCCTAGGGTTTGTAGATTTTTTAAAAAGAAGCAAATGATTCTCACCTAAGCAACAGCTGTTTATGGTGTGCTCACTGTACAGTCCAGGCACAATAATCCTCCCATTCCTATGAGAAATCTTAAAAATATGGACAGTGGGGGAGAACTGAGGAAAACAGCAGAGTCTGCCATCCTTACTGACCTCTATAATATTAGAAAGGGAGCCCAGACACCTTCTTAGGGGAAAACGCAGTTTCTGGAGACGTTTGCACCCAACGGTTCAAAATGACTGTACACCTGTCACATATCCCTTGTGAAGAGGAACCTCTAAGACCCATTTTTAAAGAAAGAACCTGTTTAGAGATCCTGTCTACCATCCATCCACGGTGTGAGCCAAATCTCACCACGTCAGTCATGAGTACTAAAGCCAAAATTAATTAGGTCTTCTTTTAAAGAGCAGGCTGCAGCTGGGAGAAATAGCTGTTTTCAAAATAAATAATGGGCACGGGCGCCCACGCTGGCTTAGCCTGCAGTCACGTCAGGGGAATCAAGGCTAGGAGCGATGGTGACTCTTTCCTTTAAGAAAAAAGCATGGTGAAGGCTTTCTGTGCGCTCTCGTGCGCGGGTCCCAGCCTGGGCTGGGCGAGGCTGCGGGGCAGGGCCGGCCGGAGGGGGGTGTAAGTTAGGACACCGACCTGAGGAGTTCAGATCGTTGGGTCGGCTCTCGGCCTCGGAGCTCTGCTCACTGCCCATGGTGCCGGCAGCGATGGCAGCGGAGGAACAGCGGACCGGCGGGCACCGCTCCCGCGGCGGGGCGACAACACAGGGGGCCGAGGACACGGATGCTACACTGAGTCTGGGCGCCGCGGCGGGGCCGGGAGTGGAGCTGGCGCGCCCAGCCCACGCGAGGGCGCGGGCGCCCGGGAACCGGGAGGCCCTATTTGGGTAAAGGACACGCGAGGAGGCGCGGCGCAGCGGCACGCTGGTCGCCCGCCTTCTTTGGGGGAACCGAACGAAAAGGGGCGGGCGACGCCCGGCATCAGCCGCGCCTGCGGCCTGCGGGCGGCGCCGCTCTCACTCACTGGTTCGAGCGCCGCAGGTTCGCTCCTTCCGTGACGCGGATTGGCGGCGGCGGCAGCACAGCCGTCAGTTCCGGGTTAGTCGGCCCCGCCCCCCGGCGCGAAGGCGGGCCGGGGCACTGACGCTGGCGACCGAGGCGACCGCCCCAAAGGGTAAGCCTTTTCCCGCTGTAATTTTGCGTCACCTTGAAGCATCACCCACACATTAGGCACTTTATCTTTAGAACTTTACAAAATGGGGAAGGGGTGGAGTTGGTGTGTTGGGTTTTGAGTTTTTTTGGTTTTCTTTCATTGAGCTATAATTGACACATAATAGTTTCAGGGGTAAGACCTAATGACTTGATATTCATGTATATTGCGAAATTGAAAACCTTGTTTTACAGATGGAGAGACGTACTAGGTAAATAGGATTGGAATTGCCAACTCTCTGGATGCCAAGCTCCTGTTTCAGTTCCATATAGTTTGACAGAGAAGGACCATGCAAAAAGTACTACGTGTTGAAGGAAGGAGCTGGAAATGAGAGGAAGACATAAAAAGTGCTAGTTCACGTGTTAGGGTGTTTGCATCTTCAAAGGAAAGTGAATGCCCCTGTATTCTAGGCACTTTCTTAGGACCCTGGCAACTATCCACAAACCATTCTGAAACTAGCAAAGGTGAGGACGGAATACAAGAAAAGCAAAATGGAAACTGCCAGTCACACAGGACAAAAACATAGATCTTGCAATGCAGTGCCATCAAGGAGCTGGTTAACCCTGGGGTTCTTCAAACTTGGCAATTCAGTTTAAATTGTTAAAATTTGAAGCAAGGTTCAAATATATACGTATATTTGTATATATGAGGTTTTATATACATACCTATGTAGACAATCTCAGAATGAGTGTCAGATTCACTAAATGATTAAGCCATTTCCACTCTGCTATATTTTAGACATTCCCCTATTGTACCTCCTTTAATTTTCACGAGAACCCTGAGGTCCACAAACAAGTAACTCCTTGCAGTCATCAGGTAGTAAGTGGTAAAACTAGGATTTAGACTGTCTAATTTCAAACCTTGTGCTTTTCCCTCTACTTGTTATTACAACACTGTGAGAAAAGTGCAAATGAATGTAAGTTCAGTATTCTGTGAGAATATATTGGTAGAACTAAAAACTGCCTGAGAGATCAAGTAGGCTCCTAGGAGGTGGTGTTTGACTATAGACTTGAGGCTTACATAAACCAGCAGGCTGATAGGACTGGGAAGTACCCCCTAAACAATGTGACCATTCCCATGATCTGCCCTCACTGGGGGTTAGGCAAGAGAAGAGGGTAAATGGGGGAGTATAACTCATATTCTGGCTCTTGTTCTCCCTCTTCTACATCAAAGTATATTTATCTTATGTTTAATACCCTAATCCATACTTATGTGATTATATTTTTTATGCTTCCCATTGGAGGAACATTTCATTTTAAAGGGATATTCTGTTCATCAAATGAAGAATGGACAAATACATCGCCCTGTTTTCTCCTGGCCTACAAAGTTTCTGCTGAGAAATATGCTCATCATCTTACGGGGGTTTCCTTGTATGAGAAATTTTTTTCTTGCTGCTTTTAAAATTCTGTATTTGATTTTAGACAGTTTTATTATAATGTGTATTGAAGAAGATCATTTTGGGATTTGTGTTTTTTTTTTAATTTAAGTATAGTAGATTTACAATATATTAGTTTTCAAGTATACAATGTAGTGATTCAAGTTATCTACATTATTATTTTTTCTACACTCTTATGAGGGTTTCACATGAACAACATTGTGGTTACAACATTCACCCATATTATCAAGTCCCCCCCCACACCCTATGGCAGTCACTGTCCATCAGCATAGTATGATGCTATAGAGTCACTACTTATCTTCTCTGTGCTATACTGCCTTCTCGGTGACCTACCTATATTATATGTGCTAATTATAATGCCCCTTAATCCCCTTCTCCCTCCCTCCCCAACACCTTCCTTTTGGTAACCGCTAGACCCTTCTTGGAGTCTGTGAGTCTGTTGCTGTTTTGTTCCTTCAGTTTTGCATTGTTGTTATACTCCACAAATGAGGGAAATCATTTACTACCTGTCTTTCTCCGACTGGTGTACTTCACTGAGCATAATACTTCCTACGTCAATCCACGTTGTTGCAAATGATAGGATTTGTTTTCTTCTTATGGCTGAATAATAGTCCATTATGTATATGTACCACATATCTTTCTCCATTCATCTACTGGTGGACAGTAAGGTTGCTTTCATATTTTGGCTATTGCAAATTGTGCTGCAGTAAACATAGAGGTACACGTGTCTTTTTGAATCAGGGATCTTGTTTTCTTTGGCTAAATTCCTAGGAGTTGAGTTGCAGAGTAAATGGTATTTCTATTTTTAGTTTTTTGAGTAACCTCCATATTGCTTTCCACAATGGTTGAACTAGTTTACATTCCCACCAGCAACGTCACAGGGTTCCTCTTTCTCCGCATCCTCACCAGCATTTATTGTTCCTTGTCTTTTGGATGTTGGCCATACCAACAGGTGTGAGGTGGTATCTCATTGTGGTCTTAATTTGCATTTCCCTGATAATTAGCGATGTGAGCCTCTTTTCATGTGCCTGTTGGTCAACTGAATTTCTTCTTTGGAGAAGTGCCTGTTCAGATCCTCTGCCCATTTATTAATCGGGTTATTTGCTTTTTGGGTATTGAGGCATGTGAGCTTATATATTTTGGATATTAACCCATTGTTGGATATGTCATTTACGAATATGTTCTCCCATAATCTAGGATGCTTTTTTGTTCTGGTGATGGTATCCTTTGCTGTACAGAAGTGTTTTAGTTTGATGTAGTCCCATTTGTTCATTTTTGTTTTTGTTTCCCTTGCCCAAGGATATGAGTTCAGGAAAAAGTTGCTCATGTTTATATTCAAGAGATTTTTGCTTATGTTTTCATCTATGAGTTACAAGGTTTCATGACTTATATTCAGGTCTTTGATCCATTTCAAGTTTACTTTTGTGTATGGAGTTAGACAATAATCCAATGTCATTCTCTTGCTTGTAGCTGTCCAGTTTTGCCAACACCATTTGTTGAAGAGTCTGTCATTTCCACATTGTATTATACATGGCTCCTTTATCATATATTAATTGACCATATATGGTTGGGTTTATATCTGGGCTCTCTATTCTGTTCCATTGATCTATGGGTCTGTTCTTGTACCACTACCAAATTGTTTTGAATACTGTGGCTTTGTAGTAGAGCTTGAAGTTGGGGAGTGTAATCCCTACAGCTTTATTCTTCCTTCTCAGGATTGCTTTGGCTATCTGGGGTCTTTTGTGGTTCCATATGAATTTTAGAACTATTTGTTCTAGCTCATTGAAGAATGCTGTTGGTATTTTGATAAGGATTGCATTGCATCTGTAGATTGCTTTAGGCAGGATGGCCATTTTGACAATATTAATTCTTCCCATCCATGAGCACAGAATGTATTTCCATTTATTGTTGTCTTCTTTAATTTCTCTCATGAGTGTCTTACAGTTTTCAGGCTATATGTCTTTCATCTCCTTGTTTAGGTTTATTCCTAGGTATTTTATTCTTTTTGATGCAATTGTAAGTAGAATTGTTTTCCTGATTTCTCTTTCTGCTAGTTCATCATTAGTATATAGAAATGCAACAGATTTCTATCTATTAATTTTGTATCCTGCAATTTTGCTGAATTCAGATATTAGATCTAGTAGTTTTGGGGTGGATTCTTTAGGGTTTAATATGTATAATATCATGTCATCTGCAAATAGTGACAGTTAAACTTCTTTTTTTACCAATCTGGATGCCTTTTAGTTCTTTGTGTTGGTCTGATTGCCATGGCTAGGACCTCCAGTACTATGTTGAATAAAAGTGGGGAGAGTGGGAATCTTTGTCTTTTTCCCGATCTTAAAGGAAAAGCTTTCATCTTTTTGCTCTTAAGTAAAATGTTGGCTGTGGGTTTGTCATTTATGGCCTTTGTTATGTTGAGGTACTTGCCCTCTATACCCATTTTTTGAGAGTTTTTATTCTAAATGGATGTTGAATTTTGTCAAATGTTTTTTCAGCATCTATGGAGATAATCGTGTGATTTTTGTCTTTCCTTTTGTTGATGTTGTGGTTGATGTTGATGGATTTTCGATTATTGTACTATCCTTGCATCCCTGGAATAAATCCCACTTGGTAATGATGTATGATCTTTTTGATGTATGTTTGAATTGGTTTGCTAATATTTTGTTGAATATTTTTGCATCTATGTTCATCAGGGATATTGGTCTTTTTTCTTTTTTGTGGTGTCTTTGCCTGGTTTTGGTATTGGAGTGATGCTTGCCTCATAGAATGAGTTTGGAAGTATTCCCTCCTGTTTTACTTTCTGGAAAACTTTAAGGAAAATGGAATGTTAGGTCTTCTCTAAATGTTTGATAAAATTCAGTGGTGAAGCCATCTGATCCAGGCGTTCTGTTCTTAGATAGTTTTTTTGATACCAATTCAGTTTCATGGCTGGTAATTGGTCTGTTCAGATTTTGTATTTCTTCCTGGGTCAATCTTGGAATGTTGTATTTTTCTAGAAAGTTGTCCATTTCTTCTAGGTTATCCAGTTCATTAGCATATAATTTTTCATAGTATGCTCTCATAATTCTCCATATTTTTGTGGTGTCAGTAATGATTTTTCCTTTCTCATTTCTGATTCTGTTTATGTGTGTAGACTGTAGTCTGGCTAAGGGTTTATCTATTTTGTTACTCTCTCAAAGAACCAGCTCCTGCTTTCATGGATTCTTTCTATTGTTTTATTCTTTTCCATTTTATTTATTTCTGCTCTGATCTTTATGTCCCTCTTTCTACTGACTTTGGGCCTAATTTGTTCTTTTTCTAGTTTTATTAATTGTCCATTTAGATTGTTCATTTGGGATTGTTTTTCTTTCTTGAGGTAAGCCTGCATTGCAATATAGTTTCCTCTTAGTATGACCTTCACTGCAT